GATAATAATCTCCTTCTCTAAAGGCTATTATCGAATTACGTAGAATTATCTACGGATGCTTCGTTGAAGATTTTGTTTATTTCAACTTTTACAGAGGATCGTATGAATTTGTCGGACAAATCTTGTAAAAATTAGGAGAACGTGCAGTTATATAGTTAAGATACGAGAAAGTATCGACTTTCTACGACTTCTATAACGTGGATAATTTTCACGGATATTGACACGTCACTGGATGATTCATCGAGAGAGGATTAAAGGGAGCCGGTAAATCGTCCACGTGAAACTTTATGAATAAATAGATCTCGTCTATTTTTCAATTATCGAGTTCAATCTCGAAGATATTGGCACAAACGAGATCGATAGCTTCGATCTCGAAACAACGTCTCTACTTTTCCGATAAATAATTACAATAATTTTCCACCACTAATACATCACTGGACTCATTCATTCGATCAAAGAGAGCAGCAGGTGAATCGTTCTTCGTGTATTACGACGAATCTCGACGAGACACGAGACACTTATGCCCGCCCAAGGGTTCGCCGTTATTCTTTACGCGGCTAGGACGACTGTCGGACGATTCTCGGCCAGCGGGAGATCAATTGCGTCAGAGGCGCGAGGAAGCGACTGGTGGTGCACCCGAACGTGCGTTGTACGACGAGGTCCAAGGGTACGCGCTCGCCCCTGTTGTTTTACTCACGCCTCTCGGCTGCTGCGAAAAGAGGATCCGCCGAGAGAGGGAGAGAGAGGGCGGCGCGCACGTGCAGTGCCGGAAAGGCCACGCTCTTTTCTTTCTTATCCCGAAAATCGATCGTTAAGACACGCTGCATTGGATGACAGACACCGGATAACACGCGTGCATCATCGACCATCGGGATAGACACTCCAACCTGCACCGTGTAACTCTACTCCACGCACTTACATACACACAAACACACACATACACGCGCGCGCGCGCGCGCGTACACCGTTGGGATGTCTTGTGCGTTGAACTTTCGAAGTGGCGCTCCGATACTTCCTATTTTCCTATCTTTTGCCTATCTTATTTATTTTCCTCCTTCGTTTTCCCCCGTTCAATAGATACGCGCTGTATACGTGCCCATGTGCGGTAACGCGGCACTCTTTCTCCTCCGAGAGGAAACGCGAAATGGGAATCGGCGGGATTGGAATGCGATTCGCGGGTGCAGTCGGTATTAATCGCAACACTCGCCAACCACCACGATACACTCGAGAAGACTGGAGTCTCTCTCGGTAGGTGAGGCCCCCCTCCTTCTTTCTCTCTTGTACGCTTTCAGTGTTGTACCCAGTGCCTCGTGGCCACCGGTGCGATCCCTCGATCGCGTGCCACGCGAGTATGACTGTACAGAAAGGGGAGGAGAGAGAGAGAGGGGTTACCCCCGCGTGAAAATCGATGGGGGTTCGTTTTCAGTTTTGTTTGCCCATACGGTGCACGGGTTGATGGGTTGTGGCAAAGATGTTCACAAGTGTGGGTCGATTCGAAATATTATTTTCACGGTAGGGATGATGATTTAGGGAACGGCATTGAGAAATGAGAATGAATTTAGAATCTGATATTAACGAATCGATCGATTATCTTTTTTTTTTTTTATTAAATTCTTTAATGCTTCTTCAGTGTTATTTATTAAAATTTTCGTTAGATATCAAATTTTTATTTTTCACTCGTTTCGCTTTCGAAGTATATTTTAAAACATCTTTAAAATTTGATTAGAAATAATAATATTGATTCGCTAAATTCTTTAAATTATTATTAAAAAGTTGAAACGAAAATTGTTAATCGAAGAAACAAAAATCTTCATTCTATTTATTGATAATAATTATTAATCCTAAAAAGGATGTATCTATGTTCTTCCCATCTTTCTCGATATAAAATACCTTCTCCCGTAAAACGAAACAATAAAAATCTACGTGTCACAAGCGTTTCAACGCTTGAATACGGCCCTGCGATCGAACTCTTTCCCTCTCGCTCTAATACGCTCTACGTTATTCTCTACGCCTTTCCTCGTCGCGCCAGAGAATCGTTCTCTGTTCCCTAACTCCTATACACCTATCCTCCTCTTATACATACCTTTCCTCGATACATCTGTCCTTCTTCGTTGCACTTAACAGCGCTCGACTCGGCTCGATTCGTAAATTCTCGGCACGATTACGAGATGGCAGTGCGGAATAGAGAGGGGGGGAAGGTTGTCGAGCGAAGAGAGAAGCCGACCAACCCCGCGAGTCGGACAAAGACGACAAGCGCCATGAAAGAAACGGAGCGAGTGAGTAAGCGGTACGAGAAAGAATGCGGAGTGAGTAAGTGTAGATGGCGTTGGTGCAAGCGGGACGGAGAACGCGTGAGAAAGTGAGCGAGTGAATGGGAGTAAGAGAGAGTACGAGTGAACGAAAAATAAGGAAGAAGGAAGATTCGTATGTACAGGCGATAGAAACAGAAAGGGACGGAATAAAGAGACGAGAAGGGGGAGAAAAAAATGGCACGATGTTAAAAGTGCTGTAAACTGGAAAGAGAAAGAAGGTATCTACGTACACGCATCGGGGGGGTAAATAGAAGGAAACCGAAAAGGGAGCGAAAAAGGGGGAAAAGACAAAGTGAGACAGACGAGTGAAGTATATAGATGGAGAGAAACGACAATGCGTTAAAGAGTGATGAAAGAGGAACGCGAGAAACGGAAAAATAGAAGAAGAGAGAGAGAGGGAGAGAAATAGAGAGGCGGCAAGAACAGAGAGAACTTAAAACGCAGCCACACCCGTGGTTAGTCGGCAAATTTTTCTGTTTACGTCCATGGGAGAGCAGAGACCGTGAAGCGCGAACTTACAACCGCACGTGGGTTTCGCACTGACGTTTTGCGAAAAGTATCTCGACGAGAAAAACGGGATAAGGAAAATCTAAAGCGCGAAATGCTAAAGGTAGGACGATCAAAGAAAGAAAATATTCCCATGAAAATGTTGCTCTCGGTTGTCAGGACCAAGAACGTTCGAACAATTTAAATGTATAAGAAAACAATTTAGATTTGGAAAAAATTTGAGCGGAACCCGATGTGTTTCGGATTGAGGAAAAACGGAAGTAGAGCATAAAAAAAGAAAAGCGCGCGTATTCTCTTTTCACGATAGAAGAGTTGAATTATTTAAGAATTAATTGATTAAATTTTAGAAAAAGATTAACAAGCAAAGGAATAAGAAAAATCGGTGTAAGAATTTAAAAACTTTCTATCGATGAAATATTTTTGAAAATTTGCCTATAAATAATTGCAAACCTGTCTTCCTTTCGCTCGCGTTCCAGGATAACGAATAAAACGAGCTTCTCGATACACATACTCATGAACAAAAGAGTGGGAAAGAAGATGAACGCGTTAAATTAATGCAGTGAAAATTTGCTTTTTCTTTCCACCATCCTTCCAGTGATTGAATTTCATTAAAAGTAGATTATCTAATACATTCGCCGTTACAATGTGTACCGATGCACGTATACCTTGAAGGAACGAGGTTACACGATTAATGAGAATTTCCGTGGTTCGAGGGACACAAAGAGAGAAAACTGCGACCGTAACCCTGGTACAGAACGATTTATGAGCCTGCTCTGAGTGTGTGTGATATACACCGTGATCATGAAGTTGCAGAATCTGTTTCAACGATATTGCGCTCCTACGTATTTGCGTCCTCCAGATATTTCATATTAAACCGCCCCGATCATTTTTTGAGTCGTTTCGTATATTGGCTGAAACTTTTTGAATGTTTAATATTCGATATTCAAGAGTGTAATAATGTAAATAAAAGATTGCAAATATGAGGATAATGAAACTTTTGTTACGTGTATATATTAGATAGAAATGAGTAGCTGCTTGTTAATAATAATTAATCATTGATGTATTTTCCCTCATTTTCATAAATCTTTTGCTATCGTTTAACTAATTGTACATTTTCTACTCCTCTTTCATAAAACTTCCGTGATAAATTCCATTGAATCTTAATTAAAATAACGAATCGCATTATTTATAAGGTGACCCAATATCCCAAATATTAAGATCTTTGTTACGATCAAAGTAGCGCAACGTTTCCCATGTTATATATGTAACATAATATTATTTCATCGTTTAATCACGAACGTTAATAATTATTTCGTGCTCGTCAAATGTTAAATGTATATATGATTTATTATTTCCAAGAAATGGTACTATCATACTTCCATAAAATATATTGGAAAATAATTTAAATATGGCATATACGCATACAATTAAAATATAGTGTCAACTTCAATTTGCATTATGAAAGTTTTTTTAAAAATCGCGAGCGTGTAAACGTGTTTCGATAGAAAATCGTGTATACGTTCTATTTTCTAGCACACCCGATACACGTACAAAGTCTCCTCCAGATATATGTGCCTCGATCGATTTCTATCTCGGCAGCTTCTTCACGTAAAACGAATTCGATATGATATCGAAAACAAGAGAAAAACACAAAAGAAGAGGAGAGACAAGAAATAAATATGGCCGAGCAAATTCCACGTGAAACGCAAGCGCGTATCACAATGAAGAGCCGACCTGATTGCGATAAACCAGACGATCGGTTGATGACTGGATTCACGGCGTGATTTTCAGCAACGATTTATTATGAAAACGCGATGAAGTACACGGATAAAATTACAAATGCTGAATTATGATTACAATAACAAGGATTTATGATCGTTGGTAGTTTTCAAAACACAAGCACCTGAATTTATCGTTTACTAAAAATTACGAGAGGTGCATTTGCAATGTAAATCTTATGTGAAATTAAGGCAAACCAACCGGATCGGAAGATCGTTTAAATAAATCAACAAAACTCGTTTATTCGACGGAAAATTGACTCCTTTTCTCTTTTTCTCTTTTGCATATATACGCGTGATTATAAGTGATAAAATTGAAGATAAATATCGATGAATAAATAAAAAAAAGAATTATTGTACCAGCTACGAGAATGATGGAGTGAGAAAAGAAGAATTTTCTTACCTTGAACGAGGGAGAAACATCGATCCATCGATGAACACAGAGCCGGAGAGTAATATGTACCAGCTTGTGGCCAATTCACCGGTGCTGAAAAATTTTTGGAATAATTATAATTTATATATTTGGATAAAATAATAATTTACATTAATTACATTCATATTTATAATATTATTATATTTTTTTTATTTATCTTAATTATAATTAAAATACCATATTAGATTTCAAAAATATAAATTCATTGAATACATTATATAAATATGAGATGTAAAAGTTTTTTCGTAAAAACGATTATTTTAAATAACCAAATTATATTTTACAACTAATTATCATCATCGATTAATCACGAATTCAAACATAAAAATTGGAGTCATTATTTAGAATTGTATAAAATATCATTATAAATATGATAAATGCATTGCTCATTATAATATTAATAATACAAATATTATAGGGATAGATACATAAAATTACAAAAATTTAGAACAGTACCGCCATCTCATTTATCAAATGAAAAATTGACGTAAAGAAAATGAACCGTATACTTATATATATGAATATAATGAATATAATATTGTAAGGTTATGTACATTTTTGAGAACAACTGAGTATGAATTGAATAAATATTTAAGAAATTGTTTTATACGAAATATTATTAAGAATAAACCATGTCTTTAAGCAAAATTAATATATATTTCTATTATTATATTGAAATTAAATACGAAGGAACAACCACGCTCATTAATTCTGTCTTTTGACCTATTTCGTGTTTTCTATCAGTTTGTTAAAAAAAATTTGAAGTAAAATTGATACGAATGTTCTACTTACTTGAAAATACTTGTTGCATTATATTCTTTTTTCACCAAGGCAAGATATATTTCCCTTTCACTGACAAACACAAGTAACAACCAACTCGTTCTTTAAAAACGCGGGAAACGACTAGAGAATGGTACAACTAACGACATCTATATCACCTTTCTACATTATAGTATTCTAGTTTGCTACTAGAGGGCTCCAGAGGTAAAAAACGCGTCGATAAAACAGCTCCACATATAAAAGTCATGTCGATAAAGAATTTTCCTGTTACATTTTATATACGTTTTCTATTTTAGATAATGTAGAGTTCCATTTTATAACAAAAAAAAACAAAATAATTTGAAACATAAACATTAACTTAAATAATCTATATAATGATTCTTCCATGCACAAATTGAATTTGAAAAATAAATAAAATTATACATTTAAAATTATATTATAAAAAATAAAAAAGATACTTACTAGTAAAGAACATGATTCGCATGATGCCTTTCATATCGTACAATTTTGCAAAGACCCCGGAGAATGGAATCTCTGCACGGACGTAATGCTTCCAGACCAAGCAGACCATAATATATGATCTGCAGATCCTAAAAAAAAAAAAGAAAAGAAACAATATTAATTACGAAAAGTATAAATAGTGAAACAATGAAATAGAATTAAATACAAATAAATATAAATAATAATATGAATTAAAAAAATACACATATAAATATTTCTTCTATTTTAAATATTAACACAATTTTTATAGATTCTACATTTATTTAAATAATTCTATCGCGCAAACTTGAAAGCTCTAGTTAATATCCGCTAAAGGCTTTAACTTCTTCCAAGGTAAATTACCGTGTTTGTAAAGTTCTCGCGCAAGTGCACTTGTCAGAAGTGTACCATTCAGATTCAATACGATCGACTTATCGGTGGTAAAAGGCAAGGCAAACTCGAACGAGGCGCGCGCCAACACAATTGCCTCTAATGCGACCTTAATGTACCCTGTTATCGTACACTATGATCTCTGCGCTATCGTTATCCAAATTGATCATTTGAACCGCACTTGTTAACCGCGTTGACACAACCGAGAAAATTCAATAAAGCGATCTTTTTTACCTTTTCTACTTTACGCCTTTTTTTCGCTCAATCTTTACACTTAAAAATTTTATAATTATACTGGATAGATTTAATTACAATTGCGAAATATATTTTTCGCGTTATGAAAAGTTTTCTAAAAAGTAAAAAGATGTACCGACGTTTTTTAATATAAAATATTATTTTTCTTTTTCTTTTTTTCTCGTCATATATACGAAAATTTCTGCCAACAAAGATCCAGATTTCCAACGAATCGCGCAATACGTTTCCCACGAGCTTTATTCAACGGGGCGTAATTAAAATCGCTCGAAAAGTTAATATAGTTGAATGTACTTCCGGTGCGAACGTAATAGCCCGAGTGTATTGTCGGCCCGTGCATTGTTCTGAGAAGCATGGGACAAAAACGAACGAAAAATAACTTATAATAATTTATCCTATGTCCTTGATATTATTGGACAAGGAACATTCGAGATTTGGAATTAAAAAAAAAAAAAAATCATTTGAACAAAGGATAACAAAGATCGTGATACAACCCTCGACAAACTTTAGCATTTTAATATTTTGAAATTCAAATAATATTACCTTAATATTTCTTGGAATGAAAGATCAATGAAAATTTAAAATTAAAAAATTGGCCAAGTTGGCAAATAACCAACAATGCACGCGTGAAATTGTAGACGAAGAAATAATAGAAGAGAATGTGTTGAACTAAAAAGTATGTTACAAAATTAAAGAGCATTTAAATTTAAAAAAAAAAAATTAGTTCATAAAAGAAATTTTCATCAATTTCAAATTCTGTAGACAAGCAACGATGGTGAACGATTATCAACGCGTTTATGATAATTAAAATCATAACACGCGACGTGTATTGTAATGCGCATCGACTTTCGCGATAATCGATGATTAAGGCGGCAGCATCTTATCAAAGACAACATGCTATAAAGCTGCACCCTCTTCTATGAACGAACGCAATTTAACGAACGCAATTTAGCAAACTTCTCAGATCGTTAGTTTCAGATCATCCCCTTGGTGAACTGGGAATATTCGTGAGCTTCTCCTTGTAAAACAAATCCTTGAACAAATTTGTATTTCGATCGTGATCCGATTAAATAATTGTGAAATACGAGACTTAAATTTTACGGAAAGAATTATTTGATTTTCTTTAATAAATTTAGTAGAAAGAATTTGAAATATCGATACGTGTGGAGTTTACGACGAGGAAATTTTATGATATTTGGAAAATAATATTTTTTTGCATTGTTTGTGCGTTTGAAATTACTTCTACAGAAAAAGAAGAGTTTTTTTCTTATTGTTAAGAACATATAGCAGCATTGTGTTGCACTATTTTTATTGTTCAATCAGAAGAAAATATACAAAAATAACTAAAATATTTAATCATTATTAATTGGATAATAAAATTGTGGTAATTGTATGGTAAATAAACTATTCTATTTCATGTTCCATGAAACGTTTCCTTGCAATTTTTTTTTTTTTTTTTTACCTATTTTATTTAGATGAAAATTTTGCAAATGAACGAGAAAATTTAAAAGTTTAATACTGCAATATGAAATTAGAAATAAAAAAAATTAAATTTAAAGACTGAATACTGGATTTCAGAAGTTTAAATTTAAAATTTTGATTACATGATATTAGAAGTTAAAAATTAAAAGTATAAAACTTTCAGATCGAAATTACACATCTGAAAATCTGATGATGAATTTGAAATTTTAATCAATATACAACATTAAAATTCCAATTAAAAAAGTTACATATTACAAATTTTAAAATCTAAAATATGAAATTTCGAATTTTCATTACGTGACATTTAAACTCCATTAAACTTCAATCGTTTAAACGAAATTATTAAAATTCAGTATAAAACAATTATTATTAATCGTTTTGCTGGTTTTGATAACATCACGTTAAATCCCTAATCAAATTTCCATCCATCTGTTCCGATGCATGTTTAATCCAAACTTGCAAACTTCGTGGCGCCGCTTCGTCTGGATTGTTTGCAACCCCCAATTGCAATCAACATTAACAGTTCAGTGGTATATAAAGCTAACTTGTGTAACGTTTATACGAAATGAAGTGAAATCGAATGTTTGCTTAATTTTCAGCAATATATATATTACATTAATAATTTTAATCTAAATACGAAGAGATCGTATAAAAACGATAAAATTAATAAAGACGAACATTTTACTTTTACATTGATTAATTAGCTTATTAAAGATTTACAACTTATAACTTATAGCAATTTATAACACGAAATTATTTTCATTATTATAAAAAAAAAATTCAAGCAACAAGTTGAATCCTATCCCTCTTTCCTTCCACAAGATCTCTTTGAAGACGATAACACCTGCATCAAATCGATCCTATATTATCAGAACAGAATAACATTGATTCGTCTTGTTGTAAAATCGAGATTGCAGAAACGGTATCGAACGTAATGCCTGCCGCCGATTTATGTAATCCCCGAAATCACCCTTCCAAAAATGCCATGAAATCGGCTTTAATGTACCGTAACCTAGCTGACCATGGCACCGACCTTCAGATAACAGAGCTATAAGAGGCTCAACGGAATCGTTTCAACGTTGTGGGCTTTTTGCCGGAAATCTAAGGCAAGATAAACGTGCAGTCGAGAAACGAAAATCCTAAACTACGCTGTTGCGTAGTTGGAAGAAGACAAAATGCACAAAATCTGGTGGAAGGACACTTTTCTTTTTTCTAGACGAAAAGTGTATCGTCGTTCTTTGCTAGATAATCTGAGGATAGGAAACAGGTGACCGTGAATAAAAAAACGAGTTTTTTTTAATCTTTCAATCGCGTTTTCACTCGCGTGAAAACTTGGATCATTTGAATTTAAAACAAAGCTGCTCTCCCCTCTCAGTACCCTCCACTTCCGTTTCGGGAGGTGTTGCGCTCAGTTTGATGGATATTTTTGGATGGATCGTAATGGGCTGTGTCTAGGAACAAATTGATGGAAATATCACGGATGGTGAAATAACGATCGAGGGAGGATTTGATTTATATTAGATAAAAAAGAAAATGGAAGTGAAATGATTAAATAATGAAATAATGCAAATTTAAAACAGGGATTATAAATTAATAAGAGTGGCGATATTGCATGATATTGCACAATAATTGACTTATTTTTTTATAGTGCGTAAAAAGGCACAATTAAAATGGTAAACGAGGAAATCTTGGTAATTTCTCTCTCTCTTGTCTCTCTTGAAATTGTTCCGCGAGAGACATGTAATTTTCGTACTCCGCTTTTTGCTTAGCTTTACTTAATTAATTTCGTTTAATTTTCCCGACCTCCACTTAATTAATTCTATTTAATTTCGCTCGAGTTTCCGCTTAATTAATTTTATACGTTTTCCTACGAGATTTTTCCCGCGAATTCGAAACGACTGTTATATCTTCGTGTCGTATAGCGAAGGAAAAAAAAAAAAAAAAAATTGAGCGAAATCAAGAAGAATCCGATCACGGGAGAACGCGATTAAACGCCAAAAATTATTTCGAGCGCAGAGAGAGCGTAATATCGATCGTGTCACACGGGGAATATCATAAATATTTCGAACTTTGCTCCAAGAAATTTGAAACACGACTAATTTTAACCTTCGACCGATACCATTGAATTGCAAATGATCCACGAAACTTCCACCTCATTCTTAAACACCCTCGAACACCCTTGATTTATTTTACACGATAAACACCACGATCCTGTCTCAATTACCTTTATAATTGTTTCCACGATAATTATTATCCGATCTTCCTTTCCTTAACGCGCTTAAACAAAGTTTTGAAAAGTGAGAAAGTGAGATACGAATTTTTCACGTCCCAACAATAGAAAAAAAAAATTTCGACGAATATAATTAATTTCAAGTTTTTTCTTCATAACTTCGTGACCACCAAGAATCATTTGAAAGTAGCAGACGCGTCGAGAGAACGAATTTTCCTCGTCTGGAAAAACCCGTGTAAATCGCGAAAGCTTTCAGAACCAAGCCTCTCTCCACGGCGCCTTTCGGTCTCCGAAACGCGGTGTGGTTTTCGACCACGTTTCTCTCGATCCGAGCACAGACTCCCTTTGCTCCTTTTTTCGTACGAAAAGTGGAGCGAACACCGGACGACCTTCACGTACGGATCGTATGAACCCAAGTTACGAGACGCGTCTCGTAAGATTTTAAAAGGGGATCCGCGTAAATATCAATTATTTCGACCCTTCCAGGATCGTTCTAACGGCGAAGCGAAATTTCTATTTATTATGGAACGAAGTTCCCTGCACGAAGATGGATTAGGGTTCGCCCGTCGGTTTCGCCTTTTTTTTTTTTTCATTTATTTCTTTTTTTTTTATTCGTTCGTACGTGCCTTCGAGTACGATCGGTTTCCTATCGATCTTGTCGCCGTTCGTTCAATATTAAACGAGGAGGAAGGTTGAGAATAGATTTTTCGATTTGGAAAAATTTAGATTTAGAATTGAAATTTGATTCAAATGTGT